GAGATGTGCCCCTTTGAGCGGATTTAATGAGACCTATTCACGCTGCCCGCAGGTCCCCTCAACTCCCACTATGCTAGCAGTGTTGACTCAAGATTGCTGTTTAGTCCGCAATCTACTTTCTCCAAGTCCCTTCAGAGTCTCCCTTTTGCTCCTTAGGATCCTACCCTTATCTGCCCATTTCAATGATTTCAATCCATCGCTGCTACCGTATCCGTGCTACTCAAGGTGTTATGTTCTACAATCTGCCTCAAGCCTTTGATAGTGCATATATTTCAACTCCAAATCTGGATTCTAAAGTTGCATTGAAACCTAACTTGACTCTGCAAATTCCCTTATCACTGTGCGGCATGTGCACCGAGTAAATCTCATGGTCAAGCATTTCCTTCATGGGCCACGTCTATGCTCAAACTGTGGTATAATGCTAAGAATGGCAAGGATCACTGACGATGCCGGCGAAACCCTAACCCTAACCAAGTCCACGGTCCGACTTGAAATTATCATGCATATTATGGACTCCGGACAAAGTGTGTTCCTTTAAGTCTTCCTATAAATATGACCAAGTTGCGAAAACAAAGTCACATAACTTCTATACAACTAAAAGAGAATGCGACTGCTAAAGGCCACATCTTCTTGGTCTTCATGTCTTCGATTAAAAATATTACCTTAATCCAGTCGCCTTTTGCTGATCTTGCTGCTCCCTGATCTAAGAGTTTACTTAGACGATATTTATAGTTTTGCTAAATCCTGCCTTCGAGTATCTTGTTGATTTCTTTCAGTCAGGATGTTGATGGCCTCTCGGATCTTACGTTTTTGGTATCTTCACCATATCCAGCTAGCCTTTCTGTCGATTTCGTGTCCCGTCCGTGCAATGTGTTCTGCTATTTCGGATCTTTCCGTATCCATGTTTATGCAGTCTGGTGTTCCTTGATTTGTAGGCTAATTTTTCTCCCTGTTTCATCAATATTCTTCTGCTCACAGTTGCCGTATTTGATTAGATAAACTCCTGATCAATCCAGTTTGTAAATCCTTTTGTGTTGCATCCGCAAGATGGTGAAGAATGTTGTCTTTTTCTTTGGTATCACATTAATATTTTATTTTCTTAGTAACGGTCGCAATTATTGACTCAGTTCAAAATAGGGTAAGAACTTTTGATCCTTTTGATTGTCCTCTTATTTTCATAAAATCCAAGTTGAAATCTGCTCTCATGAGAATGTGATCTGGAATCGGGATGACGACCAAACGGGGCTATACCTACCCTTCTGCACCTTTTTAATAACTAATTTGTGATCGTCGAGTAAAATTCTGCGGTAACAAACTCGAGGCTATATAACAGCAAAAGGAACTCAGACCCTTTATCAATTGCCTTTCTACTTGGTAGCTTTTCCTCTTATATCTGCTTTTTATTGGCACTCATCTCTCCAGCCTTCTGTTTTTCCTGCATCCGGGACTAGCACTCCAATCGCTAGCAGACCCGTTGACGATATGACATTATCGACATCTTGTTCCGCAACCTTCGCAGTCCCAGCCTCAGTTGATAGTGGACTTGGCAGTATCAATGCTAAAATCGTTCCCCATCGAACGACCCCAACTAGCACTACTATCCATCAGATATCTCATACCTCCGTCGATCCTGCAGACAAGGCCGTCACCTTTGCCCTTCCTAAGGACGGCCGTCTGACAGCAGTGATTCAGGATTCACAAACGCTCTCAAGATCCACTGTAGAGCCTGTGGCGATAAGAACGAGGCGGGCTCATGAAAACGGAGAGAGGCGTGAGGAAGGAGATGATGCCCGAGAACATCTGGACGAAGAGGAAGATGAAGAGGAGGAAGGAGAAGGCGATGACGAAGAAATGGAAGAGGAGGAAGATGACGCTGAAGAAGAGGTTGAAGAGGATGCTGAGGAAGAAGAAGAAGACGACGATGACGAAGAAGAAGAGGAGGAAGAGGATAGAAGTACAATTCTTGGCGATGATGACACTGAATCGGTAGTTTCTCGTGTTGCAGCCAGGGCAACCTCGACTAGGGGCGAGACGGGCTTGGCAGATTTGGACATTGAAGGCAGCGAGGCTAAGAAAACGGAGGATAGGAAGCTGATGGCTCTGTTAGCACACTTTTCAGATGAACAACTAAGTCGTTTCGAACTGTATCGTCGCTCTTATTTTCCCAAAGCTACAGTCAGACGAGTGAGTTGGCCCTCTAACGCAATGATTTTATTTCATTACTTTAGTCTCAATCCATAGTCCTCTTTCATCACTGCATATTTATAAAACTCTGTTAAAAACTCGTTTATCTCCTGCCACGTAATGTATCCGCAGCTTCTGGATGATTTAACTCAGGTATGTGATAGCACTCATATCTTTAGGGAATTTTGTTGAATCCAAACTTCATTCAGCCCTGATACTGCTCTTTTTAGGGAAAAGTTTTTTAGGATTATATGGTCAGACTCAGTTTACGGTTGTCTAACGGCCATCTAATTAAAGGAAGTAAATTTTTTGAGTTAAATTTCTGAATTTTCAAACGCTAAAGTTATTCACAACATTGTTTTATATCAACCGAATTCAGGCTTTCCCAGCACATAGGCCATCTTAGCAACCAATCCCACAGTTATTTATCTAAGCCTGATTTGGAAGTGGAAGAATAC